GTTAATTCTTCAGTTCCCCCCCTGTACCCTATATCTCTGCAAAATGTTGATCTTTCTGGTCTTCCTTCTCCCCTGGGTGTCTGAGACTGCCTACTTTCCTGATCCCTTAGCTTCCTTTCCCCTTAGGTCATGCATACCTGGGACTCTCAGACCATATCCTTGGACACTTCCTCCTTGTACTCTTTCTGCTTTTGACCCTCACTGTGCATTTCCATGACTTACCAGGGATCCCAGAATTCTATTTCTAGCTCTGTCTTCTGATTTTGGCTCTAAATTCATATAAATTATGCCTCTGCCTGAATGTCTTACAGGCCCAAACTGAACAGGCCCCAACTAAACCCATTTTCCTAAAAAGAGTTTATTCTGCAGCATCCTCAATTCAGCAATTTCTCTCTAAGCCAGGGTTTGGACTTTTGAAATATTTTCCCCTCATTGAATTACTTTGTTTCTTAGATATATTACCACAGTGCAACACTTCATTAAAATACTCAAAAGAAAAAGAAAAAAAAACACTCAAGTGATGTTCTACAAGTTTATGATGACAAGAATCCTAAGGCTTTGCATAATCTGATTTTATCTCCCAAGATAGTTTATTTATGTTGGAACATTACTCATTGCATTGGGGCCAGCATTTTTTTAAACCTCAGCAGCCTTACTATTCAACAATCATTGTATTAAAGACATACACATAAATTTTGTAACAGAATTTAACATAATGATAAAACTTTTATTTCTGAATAAAAAAAAGCATTCAGTATTTTGCTATTGAAAGCAACATCCTCACTCCATTAAGGAGTATCTTCCAAAACTTTAACAACATTCATACTTAAAGGGCAAATCAGAAACAAAGCCACACTCATTTTCTTTATTTTAACAGATATTGTACAGATTGTAGACAAAGGAAGTATATTAAAAAGAAAAAAAGAGATTTAAGCACCAGGAAAAGAGATAAAGTTCTAAAATGCAAGTGTCTACTAAAAAATGAAACAAACAAAACTCAAAAAAAATCACATGAAGATCATAAGAACTCATACCAGAATTAAAATGTTGAATGCAAAGCAACATCCAAAAGCAAATAGGTTTCCTCTGTTACATAAGCAGTGATTGTTTATGATATGAAATTGGTAGAAAATTTAAATTCAGTAAAATTACAAATAGTAATAAGAAACATGAAATGTCCAAGGTTTGATGAAATAAATATAAAACTACTTGACTAGCTGACATAAAAGAAAGTAAATGGAGAATATGTCATGTTCTGAATGAAATGTGGAGCACTTATATATATATATTTATCAGTTCTTTTAATTGATCATGTAACTCCATGATATTACCAACACTGATAGAATGAGTCAAGGTTTTCATGAATAAAATATAAAACTACTTGACTAGCTGACATAAAAGTAGGTGAATAGAGAGTACATCATGTTCTGGATGAAAATGTGGAGCACTTTATATATATATTTATCAGTTCTTTTCAAATTGATCATGTACTCCATGATATTACAACACTGATAGAATGAGTTTTGAGAATTAGTGAACTGGTTGTAAAGTTCAACAGTAAGAGTGATGGAGAACAGGCATATTTTGAAAAACAGAAGTAATGATGTTTTATTTCCCTACTGGACTACAAAACATAGTATAAGCCTATAATAATTAAAACCAGTTATAATAATGAACCATGAACAGAATGTGATAAGTCAATTGGTTTTTAAAACATATCTGATATCAATAGTCAGAAGCTCAATTTTATCTATCCATATATATGTGTGATGACTAGATTTCCATTTGGAAAATACACATCCCTACACACACACAAGATAAAGCTTAAAAAATGCAAAACCAAAAATTATCCAAACACCAAACAATGAAAGAAGAGTAAAATAGAAGAACAGTTTATAATATTAAAGTAAAAACGACCTTCCTACACATGGTGCAAATCACAGAAACCATAAAGAAAATGTTGAAACAAACACATAAAAATTAGCACTCTATTAGTGTTGAAATACTCTACAAACAAAAGGCACAAAATTGAATGGGGAAAATAATCCTAACATATATACTAAACCATGGTTACTATCCCAAGTAGGTTGAGAATTTTTATAGACATAGATACAATGACCAAATGGAAAAGCAGGCATCAAGATGACCCATTAATTTATAGAAGAAATAAAATCAGCCAATAAAAATTTGAAAGGAAAAAAATTTCACCAGTGATCAAACAAACAATAAAATGATAAGCACATTATATTGTTTGCTCAACACATGGGAAAAAAAGATCAGCAATATCACATATTGGAAAGGAAGCAGGAGAAAAAACACCGTCATTCACAGCAGTGAGTGTAAGTTTACTTGCCTTTTGGAAGCATTGTTGAAAACTACCCACAAAATTTCAAAACTAAATCCTCTCTACTTCAGAAATTCAATTCCACTTTTAGAAATTTATCCTATGGAGACACACAAGAATGCTCTACTCCCCCACCCCCCCACACACATGCATACACACAGGGATTTCGGTTGCAGCATAAGTTTTATTTTTTTTAGCAGAAACAATCTAAATGTCCATAGGTACTCCAGTTCATTCAAACTAAATATTCATTTGGGAGAATATGATAGATTCAGATGACTAATCTAGAAAATGTGAGTAACAGATTATTTTAAAAGTTAGTTGCAGGGCAATATTAAGAGTATGACTTTAAAAAAAAATCTCATCACCAATTTGTGTGTATGTTTTCAGGAAAATACATAGAAGTCTGGAGGTTATAGACCACCATGACAATAGCCATCTCTGGGGAACAGGTTTGGAGGAGAAGATGTAGGGAATGGTAAAAGGAGACATTTACTTGTTATTTATATACTTGTGTTCATAATATTATAATATATATTTAATATATTTACAAAAAGTATGTGTACATATATTATAAAAGTATGCATTACTTTTGTATTTAAAGTTAAAATGAAATATCTCCTCTTGTAAAAACTTAAAACCAGAAAACTTTATAAAGCCAAAATTAAAATTAAGTGAAATCCAAGCAGCTGGAGACGCATCATAAAAAATTTCCTAAATTTTCTTACAGGCTTCTGAAAGTGCACACATACATTAAGAACGCCATTGGGATATTCTGCATATTATCATCCCATTTTTTATTATTCATTTATTCACATGTGCATACATTGTTTGGGCCATTTCTCCCCACTGTCCCCCCGTCCCCTCCCTCTCCCCCATACCCCGCCTTGCTTTACCATCTCATTTTTCAATAGATTTTCCCATACTACTAGAGGTGCTTTAAATTTTTTTCCATGAAACTGAAATCTATTTTATCATGGTAAAGATAATAATAAACCTTTATTCAGTATTAAGTTTATGCCAGATTCTGGGTTTGGAAAACATAATTTTAAAGTTTTGTGTGACATTCCTCATGATGGATGTGCTGTCCTGTGCTTTGTCACACCCTTCCCATGGTATTCAGGTTAGTTCCATTTCCCCTCATCATTAATAATTGTGCGCTAACCATCCTGGTTTGTAAACATTTGTTTACAGATTTGATTGTTTTGTTACCACTTTAGGGTAAATTCCTAGAAGTGGAATTACACAATTGAGATAAACAATTTTTTTTGTGGGACTGAAGCTTGAACTCAGGGCCTTCACCTTGAGCCATTCCACCAGCTCTATTTTTGTGAAGGGTTTTTCTAGATAGGGTCTCACAGAACTATTTGCCTGGACTGGCTTCGAACTGCCATCCTCCTGATCTCTGCCTCGGGAGTAGCTAGGATTACAGGCTTGAGCTACCGGCGCCTGGCAACAAAATTTCTTCTCATTGATTCTTACTAAAGTGGTTTTACATTTAAATGCCTAGATAGTCCATGAAAGTGCCCACTCTTCCCAGATCAGTTCTCTGCTATCCTTCCTTTAAGTCCACTCACCATCTTCATAGGAATCTTGGCACCTGGTTGCCATGCATACTTGGGCCTCCTCTCCATTCCTACCCTCTGCTGCACTCCAGGCTTACCACTTCCTGAAGGCTGTCATCCTTCTAGGTCTCTACCTCCTATCCTTGAATCTGGTCTCTCACCAGTCTCCCATCTGGAGCTGAGTTTTCTAAAACACAAATCCAACCCTCATAGCTTCCTATTTAAATCTTTCCAATGCCTCGTCTTGGACTTCAGGACAAAAGCTAGGCCCAGAAGGTCATCACAGTCTACAAGTCCTGCCCAGGATCTCCCTGCTATCACTGGCACCAGGAGTTCCCTTTTCTGCACTGTTTTGCCTGGCAGGACACCCTCAACAAGAGCCAGTGCCCCTCTATGATCTGTGAAACCAGCTTGTTCATCTGCCCACAGAGGGAACATCCCCAAAGGCTATGGGTCTGTCCCAATAATTGGACTGGTCTCCTTTGTTCGGGTCCATCCCGAGGCCTGGATCTCAGAACATATTTATGAACAAGTCACTGAGTATGCGTCTTACAGACCAACACAAGCCCTCATTCTCCTTTCAGTATGTCTTGTCCTCCTATTTCAAAGGCAGGTCAGGGCTGGGTAGTGTAGTTCAGTGCTAGGTTCAATCTCCAGCACTTCTGCATCCTGTCCTAGGGAGTATGTAGCCAGGGAAGGGAAGACTCCTCAGCAATATTAGCAGAAGCCACAATCTGATATGGCCCCTGATCAGCAAAGAGAAGGGCAGACATAGCCCAGATGAGGAGAAGGAATAGGAGAAGGAAAAGACCGAAGAGGAGGAGGGCATTACTTACTGTACCTATGTACTGCTTGTCCCTGGTTTCTGCCTCACCCAGAGGACAAATGTAAAGCCAATGAGGCACTAGTGTTGGTGCAAAAAACCTCATAAACCAAGGTGAATACTATTCTAATATTGTACTAAATTTTAAAAATGGAAAGCAATTCACGTTGAACAAAATGTCAACACTTTGAGTGTTTGCCAAGTTCCCTTCTCTTAGGTTGATCCTCTCACACCTCATTGTATCCCATTCCTATTCCATACCACTTACCTGCATCAGAGGCTTTGGAGAGTGGAGAAGTTGCTTTCTGGCCACGCTTTGGATCAGGGTCTTGCTCTGAGTTGCTGCCATAAGGGAAGCACTTCTGGGGCCCCTCATCCACACCCAGCAGCAGGAGCCAGCAGTGCTTGGGACTAGAACACTGGGAGCTTCATGACTTATCTGTCCCACTGTAGGTTTCATCTGCCATCAGGGTCAAAGGCATCTCTGGCCTGACCCATGGGTGGACTTATAGGAAAGGTGCCCCTGGTCCTCTGGCTGGTGGTGAAAGCCCCAGTGCACAGGAACCCATGTGGCCTATGGCTCCACCCTCACCTGACATTGGTTCTGGTTCCTGTCTTCAGATGGCTCCTTGGGGGGCTCATGGCTAATACTCCTGGGGTGTTCCCCAAAGACATCTGCCAACTGTTCTGCTGTGATTGGGATCCAGGGTTCAACTGCTTTACAGGGCAGCCGGCTGTCTGGCCCCACCCCTCAGTTCCTGGGTGGAGCACACTAGACCTACCCACCCACATTCTCCAGTTCTGCAAGGGAGCTCTGGGTCTGTGGAGGGGCTCACAGGGCCCTGGACAGGTCAAGAGTCCTGGTAGAACAAGAATCACTAAGGGCTTGCTTTTAGGGGGGTGGTGAAGGGTTGAGGCTTTCTGATTAGTCCCCAAGCTGGGCCCTTGCACTCTGAACTCTGGTCATCTGGGATGAGCCCTTCCTTGGCTGGTTTGGCCAAGCATAGCTATCACCTGGCTAGCATTTTCCTGACCAGGCAAGGTGTCAGCAGGGAGTGATGATTCTGTATCCTGTGGACAAGTAGGAGTGGTGAGATCCTGAATATTGATTGTATACAAACACAGGTCATCTGGGCCTCAATTTTCTTTTTGTCTGTGGAATGTGGAGAGGAATCTTCTACAGCAGGGAGTTTATGAGGATTAATGAGACCACATGCTTGCTAAGCTCCCAGTAGGTATTCAATGAATGCCTGTTCTGTTTTTCGCTTCCTTTTTACTTTGGGCTTAAACTGTTGGGGTGCTCTTGGGGAAAGAGAGTTTGTTTCACAGGTAAGAAAACTAAAGCCCAGAGAAGATGAATACGGGGTCCAAGGTTTTGCCAGGAGAGGGGTGCAAAGTCAACTAGAATCTAGGAGTGAGTTTGTCTCCTGTATTTCAAGTCCCATGTTCACCAAATAGTTTATGCCCAGTTCTTTAGTGAGCCAAGGTTTGAGTTGCCATAGGCAGGGGTGGAGGAGGAGCGGGTTGAGCACATGTTTTGAGTTGAGGTCTGTTTTAAAGCCCAGGAATAAAAATACATAACTCGTGGTAACAGTGATGCTTAGGCCTGGCTGTGTATTTTATAAGGTTTATTCTGGGGGCTGAAATTACTTCCTCTCCCCAATTTGAAGCTGAGGAAATTGATACTTGGGCAGATTCCCTAACTTTGTGATGCCATAGGGCCAAAAGGAGGCAGGGGTGGGGTTGTACTCTAAAGGCAGTCATAACCCCAGGTGAGGTTACACTGCTTGGTACTGGGAAACTCAAATCTCAGAGCCAGTGCATAGTAGCTGCTCAATTAAAACCAAGCTGAGTCTGAAACTGGTTGACTAAAACTTTCTTCTACCTCATTTGTCCACTGGTAGCATTTGGGCTCCCTTATCTCTCTCCACTCCTGTCTTTTTTGAAGTCATTGATAGCTTACCATGCAAAAGTCTGAGATAGAATCTGAGTATCTCAGAGATACCTCAGGGATCCTTACTGTCCAGTATAAAATATTTGAGGTCCCCAAGCTCAGGTATGCAGATGTCCCATGCACCTCCTTGCATGACATCATGGAATTGGTACAAAAAATGCTGATGCTCTGGCAACTGCTACTGCTGAACAGGTAAAATGTTCTTGGTGTCTGACTCAGAAGTCTGTGTTTTCTGTCACATCCAGGGAACCCAGTTAGGCTTACATTGTAACCAGTGAGTTGGGTAAAGTCTCAGACTCTTCACAGTTGTTAATAATATTGATCATGAAGAGAAGGAAGGGAGGAAGTTAAGAATGGTGATCACAAGTTAATAGTTTCACGACTCATTGGATCCGCTTTCAAGGATGTCCAGGTTGGGTGTTTACATTCCATAGCATTGCTCAGGCAGTGTCTGAGGACCATGCCTGTGTTGAGGGCTAGGTTATACTAGCAAACCCTGAACATCTTTGACCTTGTAGATAAGCAAAACATTGAACAACTGAGGGGCATGGACACCCTAACAGGTGCCAGGGCATCCTTGGAATCTCCTGATTTAGGCCAGCTTCTTTCAGCTGGGGTCTTCTCTGCTTCTGAAAGTGGGCTCCTCACATCCTGGAGACCGGAGGAAGCCAAGATCTGGGAGGTCTTGACCCTCTAGCACCATATATGGGTGTGACTCTCCTAGTACCCAGATCCTAGAAGCACTGATTTTACCCAGGGACGGCCCAAGGTACCAGGGGAAAAGAAGGGGCTCTCCCTAAATGTACCACCCCCAGTTGCTCTGTCTTCCACTCCCACTCCTGACCTGGCTTCTGCACCTGCCATGACCCTTGGGTATATGTCTGATCACAGACCACAAACCACATCCTCCTAGGATGGCTACAGTCAGAAATCTGGGTCTGGCTGTATCCTGGAGATGCCTGAGGAATGGGAGGTACCACCTCAGCTGGTGCAGTTGCAGTTCTGGCTGCCAGGTGTTGTGCATTCAGATTGAGATATGCTGAGGGCTGGATTCAGTCTTGTGCAGAGAGTTCTGGGTCCAGCTGACCCTTTGCTCAATGACCCTAGATCCCAGAGCCCCTCTCCAAGGCCAAGGATTGAGTCTTGTCCAGGAGCTCCTGTCCTTCCCTGTCAGAGAGACACCACTGGCTTACTGCTTGCCAGTCCCTGCCCATTCCTCACCCACAATACCCAGAGACTCTGCCCATGGCCCCAGTGCACTCCTCTTTCCCAAGCCCAGGTATCTCCAGTTTCCTGCTCTCCACTGTCCTCAAATTCAAGCCATGGATCCTCCTCATCTTGTCTTGATGTTCCCATGGTAGGAAGTCGGTCTGGGGTGACCTAAGCACAGGATGACAATGTTACAGTCTGGAGACATGACAAAATTTCTGAGTCTCTCTGAATGCTCAGGGGCTAGATCTGCATGGAGATCCGAAGCCTCCTTGGAGAAGACATCAAGAACCCCAAAGACAGGCTCTTCTGGTAATCCTGGGGGCTTTCCCCACTTCATCTCTCTCCGGGAAATGGGGATGACTCCTGCTTTCTCTGTAGATGTCACAGACTTCCCGACCTGGCAGCAAGCACTCTAGTTCCTTTTACTGGCGAGTTAGAGGTACAAAGAGGGGGAATTTCTTGTCTTCTTTCAAAGCAATTTGGTATAAAGACTGTGTTCTGGGACTTGACCAGTTGACCAGTATCACCTAGAGACAAGGAATGACCAAACCTTTTGGACATAGGGTGGAGCCACCTGGAACAAAAGGGTGGGATATGGAATTGCTTTAGTTCTTTAACTTCAAACTCCCCAACCATCTCTGGAGCCCCACCCTAAGGAGAGAGTCCAGTAGGGGGAAGCAGACATCAGCAGCTGGGGAAGCCAGAAAGTGCTTGAGCTCTTCAGCAAAAAGAGGTTGAAGATCCACGGGAAATGTGTGGGGATGAAGGAAGGAGGGAATATACAAGGGCTGGGCTGTGTATCTACATTTCTGATGTTTTGATTAAGCATTTTCACTATAACAAATACTTGAATTAGATTCTTCTTTTTTTATTCATTTATTCACATGTGCATACATTGTTTGGGTCATTTCTCCTTCCTGCACCCTGCCCCCTCCCTCTTCCCCCTTGCTTCCAGGAAGAACCTGTTCTGCACTTTTTTACAGTTCTGTTGAAGAGTAGAAATAAGCAATAATAAGAAAGACATAGCGTTTTTGCTAGTTGAGATAAGGACAGCTATACAGAGAGATTCCTAGCATTGCTTTCATGTACAAATGTATTACAACCCAGGTTGATTCATCTCTGACTGATCTTTACACTGGTTCCTGATCCCCTTCTCATGTTGATCTCTGTTGCTTTCAGGTTTCTGTATTAGTTCCTGTGGAGTGTAGACATCAAATGCTTTCATGTTTTGGGTTTTCTACCTATCCCCATATTGAATTAGATTCTTAGACCAAACACTCTTCAGAAGATCATGCGGCACAATAGATTTGATTGCACCAGCATCTCATAATCACGCTAGAGGGGCTGCTGGGCACAGAACCGTGGGCCTAGTGGATGCAAATGGAGCATGGAGTCTCAAGGTGACCAGGCAGGAGCTTGGGGAGAAAAAATGCACTGGCTGAGATCCCTGGTCCAGCCTTGCTAGTTCCACAGCACAGAACTTCTAATCAACAGGAACACACCAACTGCATCATAGAAAATCCCTGTGGGTCAAAAAATAGAGTCTTGAGGATCAGCACAGTCCTTCTAGGGGCTACAGCTGCATCTTGGAAATTGTAGCATGGTCCTAAGTGTCATGACCATGGAGAGAATCAGCAAAAGTAGAGTAAACCAAGGCAGTCTCTGACTTGGAAACCAAACCATGACAGTCCAGAGAAAATCCTGTCTTTTTCTCCCTGTGGAGTAGTGGACTGGACCCAGTGTCTTAAGTACTGTGGGTGAATGTTTGACTACTGAGCCACAACCCCAGTCCAGTGATGAGAAAATGCACCACAATCTGGCCTCTACTCATTCTTGCTTAAACACTGTGAACATTTCAACTGAAACGGTACAGGAGATTAAACCATTCAACCAAAAACTTGCCCTCAGATGTGTAAATCCCAACATAGAAATATATGTAACATTAAAAAAAAAACAAGGCAACAAGGCTCCTTCAAAAGTCAACAATTCAACAACAAAGGACTGGAACAATTGTAAAATGGATGAAACCTCCAATAATGAACTAAACAATGATGATAAGAATGAAAAAGAGATTAAAGAGGACAAGTATAAACACCTAAATGAGTTCAAAGAGAATACAAACCAATAGGTAAATGAACTAAAACAATTCAAATGAACAGGTCAATGAAATAATGAAGACAATGTGGGTTATGAAAGAGGAATTCAGTAAATATATATAAATTCTGAAAAAATAAAATTGAAATTCTGGAAATGAAAAGCTCAGTGACCCAAATAAAGAATACAGTTGAAAGCCTCACTAATAGAATTAAGAAGGCAAAAGTGAACATCAGGGATTGAATATAAAGTAGAGGAGTTAGAGCACTCAGATAAAGACAAAGAAAAAATACCAAGAAAGTACAAATGAAACATGCAAGATCTCCAGGATATCATTGAAAGTCTAAACTATGAATCATTCAAATAGACAAAAGAAAGAGGTACAACCTAAAGGCATAGGCAACATATTCAA